AGCTAATTCTTTTCCCTCTCTCTGTCTCTGTAGAAACTTGAAGGGTCTAAGTGCAAAGGTCAACTTTTGATTTTTGGGGCAACCAACTGGGACTTGATTGGTCGTAAAGAAGTGCCTAAGCAACAAGGTATGAGAAACAGTTTCTAAACATCGATCAGTTGCTTCTTCTGTACTAGGTGTCCCGTGCTGACCACCCAGCAGGTAGGTATTCTCTGCTTACAGATGTGTTCAGAGAGGCCGAGGGACCTGTCTGAGGCTGCACAGCCCCTGCCTGCAGTGGTGGAGCTGGATTTGAATCCTGGGCTAGAGTCTCTGATTTCACAGTTTTGCCTTTAAGAAACCAGTTCCATTAAGATTTCACAGGGAGTGGTTTCCTAAAGGAGGGACAGCATCTTGCTCCCCCTCCTCCCTTCCCATACCCCCACACCTTCCTGCTGGTGAAGAGGCTGCTCCCAGGTGACGCTGCTGGAGTGTCCTGGACATTTCATTGACTGCCAGGTGTCTGATACTTCGCTCATAGTGGTTCACAAGTGGCCAGCTTGCTGCAGCTGCAAGGGTTGACAGCAAGTAACAACCCTTGGTGGAAAGAAAGGGAGCAGAGAAGTCCCAAGCTTTTTGTCCCAGGTCCCTTTAGGAAGTTGGTCTTCTCCTCTGGGGAAATGAGCCCGTCCCCAACAAGGCTGGCATGTTGCCATGCTTTATGGCTTCTTGATTTTATTTGGGAACTTGCCCAGAGTGCTTTCTACCAGTGCTTCACCCCTGAACAAATATTTGCCCACTGTCACAGCTGGCACCCAAGGACCGGGTGTGGGAGACCTGTTCCTCCCAAGGAGCCGTGGCGGCCCCTGTGTCCCTCTGAGTGGCTTTGTGGAGCAAGCCTGCCTGCTGCAGGAGGCCGCCTGGTCTGTGGCAACAGTGCAGCCTGCATGCAGGCGGCACTTCTGCCGGTCCTGCTCTTCGCTGGATGGCCCGCCATGGCTAAAGTGCCAGCCTTCGACCAGCATGGGGTCAGGGAACACCCAGCCTCCTGCCCCATCTGAGGCTATGGATGTTCTAACTGGGGCATCTCAAAACTGTGTCCCCTTCTATCCCTACTTCCACAGGGGCCAGGGAGATAGCTCAGTGGGTTTCTCCTAAGCTGGTTTACGTAATTTTTTTTTTGTTTTGTTTTGGTGATGCCAGGGATCAAACTCAGACCTTGTACTTGCCAGGCAAGCATGTAATTCCACTGAGCTATCTATCTCCCCAACCCCCTATTTCTTTCTCTCTCTTTCTCTTTCTTTTGCAGAACCAGGGATTGAACTCAGGCCCTTGCGCTTGCTGGGGAAGCGCTTATTCTACTAAACCATTTCCCCAGACCCTTACTTATCTTTTTTGTTACTTTTTTTGTCTTTTTGAGAGGGTTTTGTTATCTAGTTCAAGCTGGCCTTCAACTCCTAGCAGTCTTCCTGCCTCAGCTTCCTGAGTGCTGGGATTACAGGTGTGCACCACCATGTAGGTAGCATCTGTAACATTTTTACTTCTACAAATACCTTTAAATATCTGCTGGTAAATACTGGTGGGAAGAGAGAGTTTGCTTTCCGCAGGATGCACCAGCTGGGAGAAGATAGCTGCCTCTCGCACCTGTCAGGGAACCCAGGGACCCTAACCACCAGCTGCCTGCGGCTCACCAGTTGGCTTCCCAGAGAGCAGGGTGGGGCATTATTAGGACCTGGCCATGGGGGCCTGACGAGGAGGTAGAGGAGGGATGCTAACATCCCTCAAGCTGGCTACCTCCAGGATTAGCTGTGGGCCCTGTGGATGAAGAGGATGGGCACGAGAGCCTGCCTGCTGCCCTTGGAGCTGGCCGAGTGCTGGGCCTGAGGCGGGGCGAGGTGGTGGTGAGTCAGCAGGCCCTGGGAGCCTTGCAGTGGCAGACCTGCTGTGGCTCAGTTTCCCTGAGTTCTGTCCTGCGCAGCTCCCCCCTCCTGACTTAGGTGGTGCCGCAGGGTCTCTTCCAGTTCTAAAGTTGCCTTGGAGGAGGCCGCTGGTATAGGGATCTCTGTGCCGAGGGTGTGCCTGACATCCCCACGGCTGTTAGTGGCAGTGCTGTTACAAGCCTGACCTGGGGCCCTCTGACCATGAGGCCACACACACCCTGCAGGGGACCTGCTCTGTGACAGGGAGGACACGAGTGTCAGTGTGGCACCCTGAGCTGCTGGCTCCCACCTCCCCAGCAGTTGTCACCGCTGTTCTGCCCCTCGATCCCAAATAGCAAACGACTATCCAGCCCCTTTCTGAGGGAAGTGGGGATGTCTGTCGAGGGAGTGGCTGATCTGTTGCCCTCTGGTGTGCTGCGGTGGGATCCAGCAGTCCCCATGTGCCAGGTGTCTGGCCTGCCCTGGCTGCTGTCACAGAAGGGAAAGGAAAGGCAGGTGGCTCAGCAGGAGGGGTGCCAGCTGGGGGAGCCACTGGTTAAGGGGAGGCATTTCTCTTGTTGATTTTTTTTCTTCATTAGTGTTCGTAGTGCAGGGTTATGTGGTTATGTTCAGCGCAGGGTGTCAGGATATGTAGGCAACACATCCATATCTCTTTTTTTAAAAAAATGTATGTATTTGGTAGGGGGTCTCAACTCGGACTCATAATGATCCTCCTGTTTTCAGCCTCCCCAGTGCTGGGATTATAGGCATGCACCGCCACACCCAGACTCAGTGGCTGGCTCTGTACCCCCGGGGGGCGGGGCTGGCGCGGTGCAGCCTGTGGTGCTGGGGATTGGATCCTGATCCCTGTGCTTGCCTAAGCAGGCACTTTAGTCCACTGAGCTATGTGGCCAGCCGCCATCTCTGTCCTTTTTATGTGCCCCTCCCCTCTGACTATATTTTGGTCCCTAATGGGATTTCTAAGTCAGGTAGAAATGGGTAGGAACTGAGTTGGTGGTGGTGGGGGAGCTGAGGCCCAGGGAAGGTGAGACTTGGGGGGCTGTGGGTGGGGCCTTGCTGGAGGGCAGCAGGGTGGCTTGTGACACTGGGGCTGCTGGCTCCTGGGGTGCTTTGCTTTAAAGCCCTTAGGGAACACTTGAGAATTAAGGTGTGTACCTCATCCTGGGATCTCTCTTGATGACCAGGTCAGCCTAGCACCCCCGAAGAATTGCCCCTTGGGCCTGAAGGAAGTGGCTGGTGACATTTTAGGGGTGATCTCTTCCTCCCTGTCACTGGGCCACGAGGTCTGATTAGAATCTTGTTCTCTCCACAGCCGCGTACCGAAATCTCGGTCAGAATCTGTGGGGGCCCCATAGGTATGGATGCCTGTCAGGGGTCCGGGTGCGGACGGTGGTCTCGGGGTCGTGTGCTGCCCACAGCCTCCTCATCACCACTGAGGGGAAGCTGTGGAGCTGGGGTGAGTACCAAGTGGGGCAGGTACCCAGTCCCCTCATAGGAACCCGCCCACTCCATCTATGGAGGAGGTGTGCACCCCGCTTCTGTGCACAGGCCCATATTTTCCTCATTGCCAGCCTGCCTTGTCTGTCTACCCTACACAGGATGAATCCTTTCTTTATTTGGTACAGGGTCTCACAATGCAGTGCAAACTCATAGTGATCCTCCTATCTCAGCCTCCCCAGCACTGGGATTACAGGTGTGTGCCACCATGCCTGGTCTGGGGCTGGCACGACATGCGGTCCCAGGCATTGAACTCGGGTCCTTTCATTTGCCAGGCAGGTGCTTAGACTGCTGAGCTATCTCCCCAGCCCCTATTTTCATTTTTTTGAGATAGGGCCTTTGTACCTCCAGCTGACGTAAAATTTGCAGCAATCCTCCTGCCTCGGCCTCCTGAGTGCTGGAATTATGGACCTGTGTGTACTCCTAAAGTCCGGCTTCCTTTGAATCCTCTTCAGCAACGTTTTCCTGAACTTTTGGACTAAAGTTTGATCTTTTTAATGCTAAGACACCTCAGGCCAAGCACCTGTCCCTGCAGCGGACAGTCCTGTTGTGCTCACTAGCAGGGTGACATAAGGCCTCTTCTTGCTACTTTAAATGCCACCAGCTTTTGTAGTTGCCACCTCTTGTCATAGGCCTGGTGCCCCCCCTCGCGTTGCCCCAGGTGGTTGCATTTCCTGTTCTGTGTTCCTCCCAGGGCTTGGGCGGCCCAGCCTGGCCTGCCCCGCAGCTCCCCTGTTCTTCAAGATAGGTTAATAAGGTATTGGTAATTGACCACAGCTCACTGCCTTCAGAGCCCCAGGCTCTGCTGCTAGCTGGACGTGTTAGCGCTTGTCCCCTCCCTTGTTTCTGGCCCTTTGGCTGCCTTTTGTCCATATGACTGCATTTTTATTTCAGTCTGTTTGAACCATTTTTCACGATTTCATGAGCTGCTGCACCAGAGTCCAAATATATTAACATCTGTCGTCTTCCCGCACTCTGCTAATTTTGTAATTGTGTTGCAAAAAACCTAACAAGTGTGTCTGGCCCAAATTGATCCTTCCCAGCTCTTGGTGACATGCTGACATTTGCCCTGAATTTTGTCTTCTGCCGGTCGGCTTGGGGTGTGTGTCCCCCCACAGTGTCCCAAGCCTGGCTGGCTTTCTTCTTCTCTGCTGAGTTGGCCTCCCAGCAGGTTCTGAGACGGTCCTTGTCTCTGCTGCCCCTGCAGTGGGAGCTGCTGTCCATGTGTTCATGATTCCCTGGAGCCAGTGCAGAGCGACAATGGGTCACGGGTCCACCCTGGCAGGCTGGCAACTTCCTGTCACACGGCACTAGCGACTGTGGCTCTGTGTTTGGTGTTGAACATACCTTTTGAAGTGGACCTGGCTGCTGTGGCAGTGTGACCCTGAAGCACACCTCTCTGACAGTGTGCACAACCAGGGAGCCGCCGCCTCGCCGCAGGCCCCTGTGGAAGTCCCCATGGCGGTGGCCTGCTCATCTGCAGGCTACTCCCTCTGCCTACTTCTGCCAGGGCCCTGGCACCTAGCTCTGGCTCTGCTCTCAACATCTCTCATAACAGCCCTGTCACATCTCCCTTAACCCACAAGTACTAGGTCACATGGGTGGTACCCTCAAGGAGGGGTTTGAGAGTGCCCTCAGGCTTTGCTTTAGACCTGTTTTGGAACCTATGTGGGGCTTAGGGGTGCCTGGCTCTTCTAGGGCCCACCCAGGGTGTAGAGGCATCCCCAGGAGTAGAGGCTTAGCTACAGCCAGAGCAGCCTCAGTATGGTGCTAGCCCTGCAGGCCAGGTGTTCAGAGGAGGTCTGTCCCATCACCAAGGCTCACAGGGCTCCAAGTATCTGAGGGGTAAGGGGGAAGGGATGCAGATGGGAGAAGTGATTGGCAGAGACCAGGAGGTCCGGGGTAGGTGCTGCCTCCGGCTGAGGTCCTGGGCCAGTGTTGGGATGGTCCTGGTGAGGGAGCTGAGGAAGCAGGGTCTCCAGGGCACCATGCGGACTGGGATGTCAGGAGCTCATTGCATGGGCCATGTCCAGGCATTTCTAGGGTTTTCCTTGCTATCAGATTAGAAGTGCACGAGGGTGGGCCCCGACTCTGCCGTTGGAAGGGAGGTCAGAGGTGTGTGGGCACCTGCACCCCACCCTGAGGATGGAGAGGCTGAAGCCTGCACTGCCCAGGCTCAGGCCATGGCTCCCTCTGGACAGGTCCGGGGAGCCCCCTGCGTCCTGCCCAGCCCTTGTGTCACACTTAACTGCAGCTATGATCCTTCTGCAGGGCGGAATGAGAAGGGGCAGCTGGGCCATGGGGACACCAAGAGGGTGGAAGCTCCGAGGCTGATCGAGGGCCTCAGCCATGAAGTGATCGTGCCGGCCGCCTGTGGGCGCAACCACACCCTGGCCCTGACGGGTAAGGAGCAGGCACTGCCACAGGGATGGGGTGGAGTCGCCCCAGTGGCTCTTGGTCAGGGTGGGAAAGGAGCCAGGGGGTTTATAGCACACCTTGCCCCAGCTGAGACAGCGCCAGGGTGTGTGCCCTGGGGCCGAAGGGGAGTGGGGTGTGCTCCGAAGTGCCTGCCTGTCCAAGTGCAGTCTGCCTGGCAAATAAGCTGTGTCTTACTGTTTTGATGCTTTTGATTCCAAACCTAGTTGAAAGCATTCAGCGTTCCTTTCCCTTTGTTGCGGTTTCTCCCTTAGAAACGGGCTCCGTATTCGCTTTTGGAGAGAACAAGATGGGGCAGCTGGGCCTGGGCAACCAGACGGACGCTGTCCCCAGCCCTGCGCAGGTAATGGGAACACAGGTGGTCTTTCTATGGGTTCTGTCTGTGCTCAGGTCAACAGCCTTGCTGAAAAAGCTTTTTCTTTCCAAAGGACAAATGTGCATAGAGAGGTCTTGCCTGGAGTCTGTCCTGTTGGAAAGAAAGTTAGAACTGTTTTCTGGATATAGCTTTGCCTTCATCTACAAAGACTGGCTTGAGCTTGGGTGGAGTCACCTGCCAGAGGCTTAGAGCACCGATTAGTGCTGCGCTAACAGGTGTGTGTGGCACACCTGGCCCAGCTAATTAATCTGGAACCATTTTATTTCTTGTTTATACCTTAAGAGCCAGATGTAGTGGTACATGTCTGCAATCTTGAGGGTCAGGCAGGGGGATTGCAGGTTCGAGCACGGCCTGGACAGTTTAGCAGTTTACAAAGACCTTGTCTCAAAAAGAAAAGGCCCAGAGATACGCTCAGGGTGAGGGCCGTGGGTTCAGGCCCCCGTATTACAAGGAAGGGTTCATGACTTGAGTAGTTCTACAGCTGTAGACAAGATAGCACATGGTCCATCCTAGCACCAACATGAATAAAACTTCTGTCATTTGGAAGTTGGGGCGGTACTGGAAATAGTGGTTGGAGTGAGGTTAGGGTTTGTTGGTCAGATTGTATTTTCTCCAACCTGAGTGAGTTCTTTTTTTTTTTTTTCCCGGAACCGGGGATTGAGCTCAGGCCCTTGCGCTTGCCAGGGAAGCGCTTATTCCACTGAGCCATCTCCCTGGCCCTACCAACCCGAGTTCTGAGCTTGTCACTGAATTTAGAATTCACCTACCCACTGTGAGCCCTGATGCCTGAGACACATTGCTGTACATTTTGGGGTTCAGAGCTCCAGCAGTGCATCATATTTTGGCCTCTGCTCTGTCCCAGGAGAGTGGGGGTCACCAGAGTGTTTCCACATTCCGAGCTTTGTGTTGCCCACATGCACCCAGCTTTTGCCTTCAGAGTTGTGGGGTCCATTAAATCTCTTGAATTCCAGTAATTGTTTCATGCCATCTTGGGGAGGCTTTTTATCAGTTTTTGGTCTGCTCTCTTGTCTTTTCAGATAATGTACAACGGCCAGCCAATTACCAAAATGGCCTGCGGGGCGGAATTCAGCATGATAATGGACTGCAAAGGAGATCTCTATTCCTTTGGTTGCCCTGAATATGGCCAGCTGGGTATGGAAGGCTTTTTTTTTAAAAGCTTTGTAATCTAACCAAGTATTTAGAGGAAGGAGTGAGTGTGGAGCTGCACATGTATTAGAATGTGGGTAATTGATCGGAGATAACATCCTCTGTCCATTGAGTGGCCTTGCATTTAGTGGCCAGTGTGTCGTGCCTCGCGGGCTAACAGTGTGCAGGGATTTGCCTCTGTGGAGGAGTCAGGACCAGAGGCTTGACAGAACTGCTTCTCTGGTTGGGAAATTATTTGTGTAAGAGTCTTGGAGTTGTAGGAAAAAAGAAAACGCCACCTCCTTCGTTTAGTTTCACGGATAAAAATTTGCCTTTCCTGGAAATGAGACCGTGACAGAAGGTGGTTCTAAGAGCCTGAGGGTTTTACATCAGGTTTGCAGCCGGGACCTCAGGGCATGCAGGGAAGACTTGGGGTCCTCCTGGTTTCACGTACATGTGCACTGTACTCGAGCAAAGCCATGCCCGCCTAGGGTCTCTAAGAGAAGCAGCAGCTCAGCCGGGGGACGTGGCCTGCCACCCTCGCTTTGCAAGGTCTCCATTTTCTCGCCCGCCTGGCAGGGCGATGTCTTCCCAGCACCTGAGACGCGGGCGCCCCCTGCTGGCGCCTGGGCTGCCTGCCTGCGCCCCGAGATCTGGGTTGCTGGGTCCCTGCGTCACTACAAGTGGGCAGATGGCAAAGTATAAATAGAAGGCGGAGCGGCGCTGCCCTTAGACTCCAGGGAACAGTGACTTTGTGAAACTAAATATACCTCCAGTCAGAAGTGAGAAAGAACAGCCCCTTAACGCCCATCCGCGAGCTGGTTGCCGAGGAGTTGTTGGGGCTGTTGAAGAAATGGTTGCCATGGCCACAGCCTCTTAGCGTGCGCAGCCTGCCCACACCGGAAGTGCGTTTCTGTGCTTCCCGCTACCTGCAGCTCCCTGCAACTCCCTGCTGCCACTGGCTTGCACAGAAGCCAAACGTTACTACATTGAAGCAGGTAGCCTTCGGATCGGGCCATCTTGGGCCTCTCAGCAGCTGAGCATCGGATCTGGGAGCCTTTCCTCCGCGTGCAGCGGCGTCAGGTGTGGTTCGCTGTGCAGGATGCCTGTTACCAGCTTCCTTCAGGGCACGTTTGCGGTCTGTGTCCACGCAGACGGCTGCTGTGTGGGGTTAAGAGGCAGAGCCACGGTGGAGTCTGCAATGTGCACTCCTTCATGCACGCCGTTGCCGTGCAGCGTGGGAACATGTCATTGGCCAAGCTGCCGCCCCCGCCCCCCAGCAGCCCTGCAGCCCTGTCCCTGGGGCAGGAGCGGGTGCTGTGTTCAGCAGAGGAGAGGAGGAAAGGGGATGCACTTTCCTGGCCTCCGGGGTCCTCTGTCTGCTCCATACTGGGCACGTGGACAATGGAAGGAACTTGAGGACCTGTGTTGGCTGCTTTGTAGGGCCCCAAGAAGAGTGCAGGCGTTTCAGAAACCATTGTTTTGTGAGAAACGGCTCTAGCCCTGATGTGGACACTTTTTTTTTTTTTTGTGGCGGGCTCAGCCCACCTTTGGGGTGGGGCCAGTGCAGCTTGTGGTGCTGGGGATTGAACTGTGGTCCCTACACTTGCCTAAGTAGGTACTTTAGGCTTAGGCCTGTGAGCTGTCTCACTGGCCCTGGACACAGTTTTTACTGATGTTCTTGGATCCATCAGGTCTTGAAAAGCTGGAGGCTGGCCTTGAGCCTGTGATCCTCTCCCTGGGCGGACGGGCACGCACCACCGCACCTGGCTCAGGAAGCTTGATAGTGCAGCACTCCCACATCAGCGGGAGTGGGTATGCAGGCAAACACGGCGATCACGTGGGGTTAGGCAGCAGCCAGCAGTCATGCAAGTGGCCGCCACAGGCATGCCAGTGGTGCAACTGACAGTGATTGCTGCAGCGTGGGTGTGGTGCTGGCCGAAGGTCACAGGAGTGCTGCTGTTCTGGCATGTTCTCCAGCCTGCAGGGCAAACGAAGCATGGTGCATAGCTCTAATTGCATCATTTAGAGAGACTGAGGCAGGAGGATCACACATGAATCCCATCCAGGCAACAATAGCCTAGTGACACCCTATCTCAAAGTGATATTTTAATAAAGGCCTGAGGATATAACTCAGTGGTAGAGCAACCCCTGGGTTCAACCCACAGTACTACAAAATGTAACAAAGACTAGAGGGCAGCCAGCCCCTGGGTTAGCGACTGGTTCCTGAGGCATCTTGTGCAGGCGTCGCTTAGGATAGGAGGCCCAGGCTTCAGCGTCCCTAACACTCGTGCAGGTGACTGGTCACTCCTGGGCACAGGAGTCCAGGACTGCGTTGCATTGTCGTGGCTGCTCTTGGCCTGCTGGGGCTCCCTGAGGCCCCCCAGCTGGGGCACACACAGGTCACACTCTGCAGACTGTTTCTGAGCGGTGGCTTTGCCCTGCTCTGACCGTGCCCCCCAATAGGAAGTGAGTTGTGTGCCACATCCTGAGTTGAAGAAATCTTCCTAAGGCTGCGTTCTGTGCAATTTTTACATGTTCCGTTTATCTGGGGTGGGCCTACAAAAGTGATACTGTGATCTACTGAACAGCTGGAAAACCTGGGAAGGGTGAGGCGGGCCAGGCTAGGGCAGAGGGCGCAGTGCCACGTTCCCCGTGTCCTGCGCTGTTGCTGATGGCCGGCTTTGTGGGCACTCCAGGGCACAACTCGGACGGGAAGTTCATTGCCCGGGCGCAGCGGATAGAGTACGACTGTGAGCTGGTGCCCCGGCGAGTGGCTATTTTCATCGAGAAAACAAAGGACGGGCAGATCCTGCCCGTGCCGAACGTGGTGGTACGAGATGTGGCCTGTGGCGCCAACCACACGGTAAGGCTTGGTTTCCTTGTGTGGGTAGATGTGCATGTGCCTCCAGTTCTCCGCACTGGTGCTGCTGGGACAGGGCCCAGGTGGGGATCGTGTTGCCCTGCCCGCAGGAGAGGTGGCCCTTTTTCTGCAGGAAGGGGAGACCAGTGGGTAGAAAGGGGAAATGGCAGTGGGCTCCCTGCAGGGAAAGGGTGGCGCTGGCCCAAAGCGGGTGCTCAGTGTGCTCTGCTTCCTCCGCTTCCCTGACTCGCAGGAGGCCGGCGCAGAGGCCATGTAATGCCCTCGCCCCTTTGCTCTTAGCCACTGCACCTGGTTCTGCCCTTGTCACCTGAGGAGGCCCTGATGACCCAGCCCGTGCTTCTCCTCCCCACAGCTGGTCCTGGACTCCCAGAAGCGCGTCTTCTCCTGGGGCTTCGGGGGCTATGGCCGCCTGGGCCACGCGGAACAGAAGGACGAGATGGTGCCTCGCCTGGTGAAGCTGTTTGACTTTCCGGGCCGTGGAGCCTCCCAGATCTACGCCGGCTACACGTGCTCCTTTGCTGTCAGCGAAGTGGGTCAGTGCTTGTTGCCACCTGGGGAGCTGCAGTGGGGTTGGTCACCGTTCCATGGGGGGCAGTGCAGATGTCGCCTGTCCAGTCTGTAAACTGGAACCTCATGTCCCAGTGTCATTTCATGGGGGTGCTTGCTGCTACAACTGCCTTTCTGTCTTCCACTCAGTGGTGCTGAGGGCAGGACCTGGCCAACTGAGATTCTTATGGTGGGGCTGTTTTTATTTTCCTCCAGGTGGGCTATTTTTCTGGGGGGCCACCAATACCTCCCGAGAGTCTACCATGTACCCGAAAGCAGTGCAGGACCTCTGTGGCTGGAGGATCCGGAGCTTGGCTTGTGGGTAGGTGGCACTGTGACCTGGCTTGAGCCGGGTGTCTGGATGTCCTGGGTGCCTCTTCCTCAGGAGGGTCCCTTCCAGGCTTGGGGTACACAGCTCCAAGTGGGGTGCAAGAGGAGGGCGGTCTGCTGGGCTCTGGGCCAGATGATCCCTTCCCTGTCTTCATGGGAAGAAAAGTCACTGAGGGGCTTTCTTGGGATAAACACACACAAAGGAACTCAGTTCCGGGTTGGAAGTGGCAGGATTTTAGTTTTTCAGCCAACCAGGAGCTCACTTCAGGTGGGTGGTTCTCACAGCATTATTAACATCTTGTGCTGGGTTCCAGCGTAGTTCGGCGAGGGGGCGACGGATCGCTTAGTGTCCAGGCAGTGCAGTGTGTAGGGTCCCCATGGCTCTGCTGTGAGGATTTCCATTCCTGGGCCCTTAGCCCTCCAGTTCCAGTGGGAATAGAGTTTCACTCTCTTGGGAATGGGCTGTCACCTCATCCTGATGTGGCCTATCTGCTTAGAGTAACCTCACCCTAGAGCCCCAGGCCCTGTGGGAGGGTAGGGGAACAGGCAGCCCTAGTGGCACTCAGGGGCTTAGCTGAGGCCCGAGAGTGGCTTGTGGGGACCATCTTTAGATTCAGCAGGACCTGCTAGACCTTACAGGGTGGACCCAGGAAGCCACGGGTCTGCTCAGGCCCTTAGGCAGGGACTCCCCAGCTGCCAATGGGCTTGCAGCAGCTGTGCTTGTGACAGCTCTTGCCCTTCACAGGAAGAGCAGCATCATTGTGGCAGCTGACGAGAGCACCATCAGCTGGGGCCCGTCGCCGACCTTCGGGGAGCTGGTGAGCCGCCCTGTCCTCCTGAGCAAGTGGGGCCAGGCTGTCTGAGTTAGGTGCCCGGAATTCCGTCACCCTGGGCCTTGCCCTGGGCCACATTAGGTTTCCAGGACAGCTCTGCTGATGACTGTCAGCTGGGGAGGTTGTGACGCTGCAGGGCTGGGAAGGGCTGGGAACAGGGCTGCCTGCCCCTCCTTCCCGAGAGGGCCTGGTCCACGGCAAGCACCACTTGCACTGCGTCTCTGGCTACTGAATGTCTAGCTGGCCTGGCCTTGCAGCCTAGAAGGCAGCCTCAGCTGTAGTTGGCATTTTGTGGGACAAGGTGCCATTTGAGACAGACAGGCAGGTGACCTGGGGACACTTGCTTTATCTATTTTTTTGTTGTTGTTGCTCGAATGCCTTCAGGGCACTTTTGGCCAGCAGGAGAGGTGTGAGGTTCGAACTCCAGCAACCTGAGGCTGACAGCTTTGTGGACGCAGCCACTTAAAGAACTGAGCTAGGGCCAGGCCCCCGAAATGGCAGAATTGTTTTTTTTTTTTTTTTCCGACGAATGCCTTCAAGGCATGACTGGCTGTCTTGTGTTGTGGGGATCGAACCACAGCAACCTGAGCCTGACTGCTTTGTTGAAGCAGCCACTTAAAGAACTGAGCTAAGGGGAAGGCCCCCGACACTTGCTTTATCTAAACTGAATTTTATTTTCCTCTTTTTGTTGGAGGGGAATTGTTCTGGAAATCACCCCAGGACTAGGCACACTGACCCTCCACCACTGAGCTGTACTTGCAGGTTTTTTAAATTGTATTCTGAAGCAAGGGCTGGCCTTTCACTGTGTTGTGTTGTGTTGATTGTTTTGAGATACAGTCTCACTGTATAGCCCAGGCTGGCCTTGAACTTGGAAGTGATCCTCCTGTCCTGTTGCATGGTTGCTTGGCTTCTAGAAGCAGAGGCATGGGGGTGCAGGGGTTGTAGACCTAGCACCTGTGGTTGCCGTCTCTCCCTGTGCTCACGATGTCATCTGCTATCCCCATGCAATGCCCCTAGAGGGTGGAGTTACCCCAGGCCAGGCCAGGACCTAGTTGTTGGGTTCTGAGGCACCTAGAGGTAGCTGTGAATGTGCTAGTGTCTCATCTGGTGCTCGGGCTGGTGGCTAGGGCACCTGGTCAGTAGGACACTTGGAAGCCTCTGTGGCACCCCCATTTGTGGTGCATGCCTCGGTGGTCGCTGTTTCTGTGAGTCTCTGCTTCCCTTACCAGGGCTATGGGGACCACAAGCCCAAGTCTTCCACTGCGGCCCAGGAGGTGAAGACGCTGGATGGCATCTTCTCAGAGCAGGTGAGCATGGCTGCTGTGGGGGACCTGTGCAGAGGAGGCCCCAGCACGCTGTGTCCTCCTGGCTGTGTGCAGCCCTTGTGGGTGGTGACACTGACCAGCTCTCACAGCGTTTGGGTTGCAGGAGAAGGAAGGCTCCCAGCAATGCGGTCCACGCACTGTGGTAGTCCTCCCCTGCCACGTCACTCAGCAGGGCCCAGACACCGCGCATTGATTCCCAGGGCGAGTGTGTGACTTGAGTCTCTTATGCCTTCACCAAAACTGGTGTGCACAGCACTAGAGCAGGGTGGATGCCCACGTGATCTGGGCAGGCAGGTACACCAGGCACATGCCCCGGGTCCCACAAGCTCCTGCCAGCAGGCTTAGTGGGTGTCCTTTAACTCTGCAGAGCTCTGACTGAGAGAGTGTAGAGGACGTGGTCATTTGGGGCCAGCAGTCTTTGGGGGAGAGGGGTTGGCCTTTGCTTTCTGAGCGCCTTGCATTTCTGACTCCTGTGCCAGCGCAGCAGGCTGGTGTTCCCTTGTGCCCCATCCTTGTACCCTGTGTGCTGCAGGCCTGATGACCACGCTGCCTCGGTTTGCCCCCTAGGTGGCCATGGGCTACTCGCACTCTTTGGTGATTGCCCGAGACGAGAGCGAGACTGAGAAGGAGAAGATCAAGAGGCTGCCGGAGTACAACCCG